AGAGAGAGAGAGAGAGAGAGAGAGAGAGAGAGAGAGAGAGAGAGAGAGAGAGAGAGAGAGAGAGAGAGAGAGAGAGAGAGAGAGAGAAACCAAGCGCAAGCGCATTGCCGAAGCTCAGAAGCGTCACACGTCGTCATCCACACACACACACACACACACACACACACACACACACACACACATAGAGACTTCTCGAGCTTGAAGCCCAAATTAGGGGCCAATAATGAAAGGTACACATCAACACACGATAGTCAACAGCAGCCTGCAATCAGACTCGCTTTCTCTTCCACTTCGCATACATGCAAACAGATGGCGATTCACCCTGGCGCCAGGCGCCCACTCAAAGCTCGGAGATATGGAAGCAAGAACACGGTTCAGATGCAAATACACTTCGAACAGGCTATGGCGCATCGGCGCCTGCACATCCCAACCTTTGTCACTGTGTCCAAACCCCACTGTTCGCACACACTCACTCTGGATCACCCTGACTACTCCCACGCATACTCACTCGTACACGCTCACTAACTTCTAACACTACAGCAGCTATGGCCGCTCTACTTCTACTAACTATGGCTACGTTGTCTCCCTTCAACCCACTTTGTCTTCGGGCAACCTGCAGACCACCTTCGCACAAGACGCTGTAGCAGTGCTTCCGCATGGCTTACGCAGCGAATGAATGAATGGCTGGGCGCTGCCTCTTGATTTATACTTCTGTAACTCGTTGGTCTGCCCCTTTCCACCGGGCCCATGGTGCACACAGTCCCTCATGGTACTTGCTTGACTGGGCTGTGACTGACTGGACCGGTACCGCTGACTGCACGGGATTGCACTGCCGACTCGATGCAGTCACACTGCCGACTGAGTGCTATTGGGCTCACCACTTGCCCACTTGCCTCTGACTAAACGTGAGACAACCTCGAAAGGCCACTTCCGGACCACTTGGCCTTTCGAGCACTGTAGCAGCTACGACCTTGACCTTTCAGGACTGTGGCAGCTACGACCTTGACCTTTCAGAACACCTACAGCTACGACCTCTACAGAGCTGTGACCCCTACTCAACAGATCTACAGATCGAACCCCTACAACTACACAGACTTACGACCGACATCAAACAACTACCAACATACAGGTCACGGGTTCAAACACTCGGTCAACTCGATACTGTACATGGGCAAGGTAAGGCCTGGGGATCGAACTCTAGTGCCCGCATCTGTGACTGCAGAAAGGTGAAAACCGTTTCAAGCCTGTCTCCCTCCCTTTCCCCAGACCGCGTCCAAGTACAGCCTCACATCTCGATATTGGTTTCGCAAATTTGTACATATTATGTTGTCCCATGGCTACCAACGGTAGCATAGCTCAGTTGCTACACCCACGAACTGTGAAATACAGGCCCAAGTTTGAATCCAGATGCGATCAGACCTCTGCACCTGCACCATTGCCCAGGGTCGCAAGGCTCACCTTCTCAAACTTTTCACAGGTTCATGCCCCACCTTGCAAGGCTCGCAAGGACTGTTTCGAAAAGTGATAAAAACTACTAAAAAGTGGAAAACATACATACAGTTGTAAAAGATGACAGAACAGTTGAAAACTTCCAAAAAAGTGCTAATTCTTTTCATCGGATCATAACAGAGGAAGCCAAGCTGTGTGAAAAGTGTGGAAAACAAGCTAAAGCAACCCTTCAGAGTTCAAGCGTATATATTGCTCATACGCAGGGCGTCTAGTTCAAACGTATATGAAGTATTATGAACGAACGACAGAACAGCAATCAAAGGAAGGAGGAAATCAGATCGGATTTCTCTTTGGAATTGCTTGGGTTGAGCCGGGAGGGGGAGCGGGAGAGGATGGCGGGGAGGGGGGAGGGGAGGGGGCCGAAGGGAGGGAGGCGGCATAACTGCAATCAGAGGAAGGAGGAAATCAGATCAGATAAGTTATGGATTCTGCGGCATTTCCCGCCCTCCCCCCCCCCCACACACACACACGCACAAAATAAAAGAGGTTATCGAGTAATATGGACTCCAAAGTCTCTCTCCTTGGACCAAGAAGGCGCTGGTACACAACATTTTTTCGGTGTAATAATAACACAAAAAAGGGGGCCAAACAAACAAAAAAAAAAAGGGAAGAAAGAAGCAGATGGCAGAAAATGGATGAAGCTTACGGTCTGATGCGAAGTGGTCGACAGTGCCGAGGGGTTCGCCAGTCATTGTCAGACAATACGCAAACTTGCGCCACTGAACGAGTGGTGGCTGAAGGGACTCGATTTCAGAGGCGAGACCATCCAAATGCCGGAAAATCTGCCCAAACAAGTGTGCATGTTTGTTAAAAATTAACAAAAATTGAAAAATCTAGGTTGTTTTTCCTGCCCGGCCGGGCAACCGGGCACGTCGCCCAGCGTACCTGGGCAAGAGAAAAAGTGTGGTCCTTTTTTTTTTTTTCGAGAGGGGGGGGGAAAGGGAGGCGTGGTGGAGGTCTTCTGCACGTTTGCATATCTTTTCTTTTTCTGACTCTTGGCTGAGTGTTGGCTGTCAAGGGGGTGTAAGGGGGGTATAAATTGGCTTTAAACGGGCTAAAGGGGTATAAGGTGGGGGGGTACATTAGTCTGATTCTGTTATTTTCTTTTTTATCTTTCAATGAGGAATTAAAATGTGACCCTCAGCCAAAAGCTGTTTGCATTGCAAATCTACACAACATATTTTTTCCCCGGAATTTTTTGATTTTTTCTTTTTACTTTTAATTTTTTGCAACCGGGGTGCCCAGAACCCTTCCTGGGGGTCGTGCCCAGCCAGCCAACCGGGCGTGAATCTGGGCAGAAGTTGGTGCCCAGAACAACAACCTAAGGTAAAAATTGAATTAAAGAAAAAAAGAACAAGAACAAATTAGGAATTTAAAATACAGCAGTATTTGGGCTTGCTATGCTGTCTTTGACTTTCTTCTTGGAGTAAAAATTTATGTTCGTTTAATTGCTTTTTAAAAGGTCAAAAGTTTTGCATAATTGTTAATTAATAATTAATAATTAATAATTAATAATTAATAATTAATAATTAGTGATTAGTAATTTCAGCAGCAGTCACATCTGCTTGTCACAAGCCACAGCTTGGCCTTTTGCACAATTGTTAATCAATAATTACTAGTTAGTGATTAGTAATTTCAGCAGCAGCCACATCTGCTTGTCACAAGCCACAGCTTGGCCTACGTTTGGCACACAGAGGGGAGGGAGAAAGAGGAGGGGAAGTGGAAGGGGGTGTGGAGATGGCCGGTGAGAATTTGAGAAAGGGGAAGAATGCTCCAGGCACAGAGAGAAGGAGAAATGTACCACATGCAGAAAGCGCACAGATTCGGACGGTTGGATTATCATCACAGGCATTATCTCATCAATATTGACGAAGTTTCATCATCATATCAGCCAGCGATTTCAGCATTGAAGAAAAAAAAGTGCACAGATTCTGGCCATGTGATGACCCTCACATGCATAATCTCACGGAAATGATGATGATGAGTCTCATCATGTTGTGACACAAATGGTGACATCATGATCATCGTGCTGCATTTCGACACTACATTCTTCACCCGAATACAATGTACGGTCATTATAGCTGTATTTGGCTTTTCTTTCCGTCTACATACAGGAATAACGACCGTAAGTTGTATTCGGGTGAAGAAGGTAGAACCAGGACCCCCGGGATACCTTGGTTGCTCGGGCGGTCCGTGCGGGTAAGGGCCAAGGAAGGTCCCTGCGAAAAAGAACAAAAAACAAAATAAAAAAAATTTAAAAAAATGGAAAAAAAAACTGTGTTATGCAGAAAAATAAACTGAACAACTTTTGCCTCAACGTCAGATCCAAAATTCCTTATGCAAGGCTCAAGTCCTCGATCTGCCCTACTGGGCCCTATTTTCTGTACAGTCGGCCGCCCTAAGTGAAGGCAGGCTCGACCCAGGGCCTACAGGCATATTTTTTGAGGTCGCCGCACAACTGGGTAAATTCAGGCAGTTGCGCACCGCCAGTTGGTTGAGAGCACCCAGGCCCAGGCTACCTTTTTCGTATGTAACTGAGGCCGGACCTGGGCCAGATACACAACATGGACCGAACACAGGCCGAGGGCAGTTGGACAAGGGCAACTACCAGAGTCCCAGGGCCTGATTCATTTGGACTGGGGCACAGCCTCTCTGGGCCTACTGGAAGCGTCTGGGCAGGGGCCCAGCGCAGCCAGGCTTCACGCAGCAGGCAGGCAATTTCCATTTAGGAAAGTGCCTGCGCACGCATTCCTCATTCAGGCACTGGCTGCATGCTGCGCTAACGCTGGCCAGCGCTCACGTGCTCAGGGGCGAGCTGGATGAGCAGGCAGCCATAGCCGAGCTGCGCTGCTGTATGCTGGATGGGGCGCATGGTGGTCCTTGGGTGCACGTGGCACCTGTGAGTGGGGGATCAAGGTTGTGAGTGATACGAGAGACATACCTGGTGCTTGAAGCGAACGGCATTGACCGAGATCTGCTCATACTTCAGGGGAGCTGTTTGACGTCACCAGCGGCATTGTAGATTAGGCTAGATAGGATCTGCCATGCGTAGTCTGGGCACAGAACGCCAGATAGGAAGTCGACATTGGTTCTTTGTTGATGATGATGAGACTATTCGAACATTGTCACTTATGAGCTTGTGCTGTGCTCTTATTTGGGGGGACTCGTGTTGCAGTTCTGCTTGTGGTTCGAGGTCACGACTATCTGGTCTCATGTGTATGATGCTGCTTGGTTTCTGAAGTTCACTATCGCTCATTTTCTTGCCCTTTGAAACGGTATTCACCTGTTCGCAGTAGCGAGTGCAGGTCCCAGGGCTCGATCTCTAGACTTAACCTTACCTGTGTACAGTATCTCTGTCGACCCCGAGAGTTGAACCCGTGACCTGTGTATTTGTAACAGTTGGTAGGCTGTCGTAGGGTCCGTAGGTAGTAGGGGTTCGATCTGTAGACCTGTCAGGTAGGAGTCTTAGCAAGGTCTAGAAGTCGTAGCTGTAGCTCCTCCGAAAGGTCAAGGTCGTAGCTGCTACAGTCCTGAAGGGTCAAGGTCGTAGCTGCTACAGTATCGAGAGGCCAAGTCCACGGCCTTCCGGAAGGTCCTAGTAGTGGCCTTTCGAAGTTGCCCACGTTTAGGCTGAGGCAAGTGGGCAAGTGGTGGAGTCTACCCGTGCTGAGTCAGCAGTCCCAGTCCCAGTCCCAGTCAGTCCTAGTCCAGTCAAGCAAGTACCGTATGGGACTGTGTGCACCACGGGCATGGGAAGGGCAGACCAACGAGATACGGAAGTATAAATCAAGAGGCAGCGCCCAGCCATTCATTCATTCCTGCGTAAGCCATGCGGAAGCGCTGCCACAGCCACTTGTGCGAGGTGGTCTGCAGTGAGCCCGAAGACGAAGTGGGCGAGAGAAGGAGCTTAGCCATAGCGATAGGGTAGCGGCGGCCATAGCCGCCATAGTTGATAGGAGAGTAGTGTGTATGTGTGTGCGTGTATGTACCGTGTGAGGCGTGTGGGATATCCAGGGTGATCCTGTGTGTGTGTGAGCAGAGAGTTGTACAGGCGCTGTGCCGCCATACCCATTTGAAGTGAACTTGTATCGGAACTGCGTTCTTGGTTACTATATCTCTGAGTTCTGAGTGGGCGCTCGTCGCCAGTTTGCTGCGCAACCTGTTTACATGCATACGGAGTGTGAAAGATAGCGAGTCTGATTGCACCTTACACCTTTTTTTTTTTTTTTTTTTTTTTTGACCCGGTCGGGCAAGTGGGCCCAGGCCACTCTGGTAGCCTACGTATCTGATAATGTCCTTGATGAAGGCACTCTAGTGTCCATTGGTGAGCTGGTACTCAGTCGACGCTGGCTGGAGCCGGGGCGGGTCGCTTTGCCCTGTAGCCTAGCAGATGGGGGGCTTCTGGGGTGGGTTGTGCCACTCTGTAACCTAGCAGTTGGGGGTGTGAGGCCTGATAAAGATTGAGTATCGGGACATAGCGGGAGGCAAATAGGGTTGGGCTGCTGAAAGCACTGAGGCAGGTGTTTTGTTTTTGGCCTGAACGTTCCTATGATCTAAGGCTTTGTTGGTTGCTCATGGTTGTCAATGGTGGTCTTACGAATGATTTGTGATTCTGGGGACTCCTAGCAACTCATTTTTGGGGGGCTCCATTGCTGTTATACTCAGTGATCTGCGGCTGTTCGATGCCAGAACGACGCTGGCCGGTACTGGGGTGTTGCCCTGTTACATCTTCGACGCCACACGGGTCCTACCGGACCCGACTTAGGGCTAGAGGGACACATCAGGGCCTAAAGGCCCCACCTTGGGGAGTAACAGGCCGAAAGGCCACGACTTGGACCAGATTACGGACCAGGCCCAAACGACATTTCGTTTTGGGCCTGGCGGCGCCGTTTGAGGCTGCCGCTCTCCGGTTGGACCTGAATCGTCGATCTGGATGGTTCAGCCCCAACCAAGGCCTCGCAGCATTGAGGCCGGTCCTCTTCGAACCAGTACTTAGTACTGGTCCGGCCTCACTTTGAGGCCATCGACCCACCGGCACGCTACGGTGCGGTATGGTACGGCGTGAATCAGCGCTGGCGCTAAGTTTAGCGCAGGAGCAGCGAGGAGCAGCGCAGCGCAGCATTAGCGCAGCAGCAGCGAGCGGAGCAGCAGCAGCGGCGACTGGGCGTTATCAGCAGCCATAGCCGCCTGAGGTATCGGGATTCGGAGGCTTCTCTCCTCCCTCCCATCGCCAGTCCCCTCTCTCTCTCTCTCTCCTCCTTGGCTCCCTCCTTCTTCTTCTTCTTCTCCTTCTTCTCTTCAGACTTCATCTTCTTCTTCTTCTTCTTCTTCTTCTTCTTCTTCTTCAGATTGGAGACTTATACTAGTTGGACAGAGATCAGAGTTGGACTTCGGTGGTAAGAGGCTGTGGTACTTACCAGATTCGAGACTTGGAGATTGTTGGGGATGATACTCGGCTGTATCACAGATTGGACACCGGTTACATTAGGACTCTGTATCTCCGACATTGGTGACTTATTGTCCGCGACATTTTGATCTTGTTCGAGGACATTTTGGATTACCATATCGGTGACCTACTGGTTTCTATCTCGGTGACATTTGGTGCTACCTACATCTCCCACCTCCTTCGTCTCTCCTCCCACCTCTCATCTGTGTATGTGTGTACGAGGTCTGGGCATCGTCTATGCTTGGCCCAGACCCCACCATCGATTGTATGTGTGTGGAGTGATATCTATGTGAGTCAGTCTCTGTGAGTCAGTCCGTTTATCAGACTTCCGCTGCATATATGCTCATCCTACATTGGTTGATCTTTGGTTCTGCCCATACTCATTGAAGTATGTAACAGGTAGGCGTGTGAGGCCTGGTAGAGAGATCTGGGAACGCTTTGGGGTGGGCATTCCAAGGGACAACCAAGGGTTGTGCAATCAGACTTGCTTTCTTCTTCACTTCTCAATGTCTCATACATGCAAACAGATGTCAATCCACGCTGGCGCTGTGCGCCCACACAAAGCTCGGAGATATTCAAGTCGAGAACACAGTTTTGATACAAACTCGATTCCAACTGGCTATGGCGCCTGAGGGCTCACACCTCCTCTGTCCGACACTGTGTTCACATAACGGTTTGCACGCACTCAACTCTGGATCTCCCTGGATATCCCACACACATATACTCTGTAACACACACGCACACACACACTCTAACTAACACCTATCGCTAACCACGGCAGCTATGGCCGCCAACTACCACTAACTACAAGCAGCTATGGCTGCGCTAACTCCGTCTCAGCCCACTTCGACTACGGGCATCTGCCGACCACCTCGCACAAGACGCTCCTGCAGCGAGCTGGAAGCTGCCTCTTGATTTATACTTCTGTAAGTCGCTGGTCTGCCCTTTTCCACCGGGCCCATGGTGCACACAGTCCCTCATGTTACTTGCTGACTGTACAAAGTGAGACTGGGACTGGGTACCACTGACTATGCGAAGTTGGACTCACCACTTGCCCACTTGCCTCTGGTCTGCTGTGAATAACGTGAGAAAAACTGGAAAGGCCACTTCCGGACCTTCCGGAAGTCTGTGGACTTGGCCTTTCGGGACTGTAGCAGCTACGACCTTGACCTTTCAGGACTGTAGCAGCTACGACCTTGACCTTTCACAATTGCTACAGCTACGGCCTCTACACAACTATCACCCCTAGTCGACAGATCGAACCCCTACAGCTACACAGACCTACGACAAGCAACAGTCAACTACTAAAACACAGGTCACGGGTTCAAACACACAGATCTACAGATCGAACCCCTACAGCTACACAGACCTACGACAAGCAACAGTCAACTACTAAAACACAGGTCACGGGTTCAAACACACAGGGGTCGACTCGATACTGTACACGGGTGTGGTAAGGTCTAGGGATCGAGCCCTGGGATCTGCATCTGCTACTGCTAAGGTGAAAACCGTTTCAGTTGCTGCTGGGACGACGCTGGTCGGAGCTGGGGCGAGTCGTGTTGCCCTGTAACCCAACAGGGTGGGCGTGTGAGGCCTGGAAGGGCTCGGCAGGGAGTAAGACAGTGTTGGAGAGTTTCAGAAGGGTTTGCTAGGGATTCCAAGGGTTTTGAACATTTGTAGGACCTTTGTGGTGGCGATTTTTGTTGTGGGTAGCCCCTTTTTCTCTGAGGATTGTCGTAGTAATTTTCTAAATAGTTCAGAAATTTCTTAGCCAAAGCCGGGTAATGGCCCCGGTATCTTTTTTTAAAAAGAAAGAGGTTCTTACAGTCCCTTCGAACAGTTTAGAAAGAAACTTCTCATAGTTTTTTTATTTTTTCAGACTTTTTCTGAATTTTAGCCCATCTCGTGGGGTTCTTCATCGAATAGGCTAGTAATTTGCTCATGATCAGGGTTGCATCGGCGCCGACCGCCGACCCCGACCTCCGACTGTTTTGTCCCGACCGATCGGGGCTGACCGGTCGGCAGTCCGCCGACCAGTCAGAAAACAGGCATCCGCTGCTTTTTTTTTTTTTCTGATTGCGCAGCCTTACTGCGCTTGCTGAGTACAGCCCAAATCCGCAGAGAAAGTTTTTGGGATGGCGGAGGGGTATGGGGGGTTGGGGTTGGAGCATACCTGCGGCGCAAGTGTGCTGGTCACCAATGCGCAAAAAA